AACACAGCAATGAACAGTGTATTTTAATTCTGCCATGAAACAGTACAGAATAAATTTTATAACAATATGGCTACATTTTTAAAGTATTTGCTTGGACAATTTCCAAACATGGAATTCATCCAAACTTGGATTTGGATGGTATATGTAATTATACACACTCTTATCCCCACTAAGGTTACCAGTTGCAAACAACATAATTTAGATTGTGTGACATAGTGCAAATTCAAAAACTCATGTTAAGTCATATTTATACCTCATTTTTTGACCACAGGCAGCTAACCAGGGTAAGGGAATGTCCCACCAAAAGTGCAAGAGGAGGCATTTCCTCCCCAACTCAGTCCTTATTGGCTGCAGTGATACATGCCCCAGTTACATTCCTTTTGGATTACTGTAACACGCTCTACAAGGGACATTTAAGATGGTTCTGAAACTTCAGCTGACTCAAAATGCTGCAGCCAGACTGCTGACTAGAGCCAGTCAAAGTGACCCCATAACTTCCTTGCTACAAGTTCACTGGCTGACGGTATATTGCCAGGTCCTATTCAACATGCTGGTCATGACCTATAAAGCACTACGCAGCTTAGGTCCAGGATATTTGAAATATTTTATCTCTCTGTGTAACCTCTGCCTCCAGTCTCTGAGAACTCTGATGAAAGGCCTTTATTGCAGGCACGTTCAGTGAACACCCTTTTACCTCTAAATGCCCTTGTGGGCTTGTATTTTTTTAGAAACGGATGCAGCATATTTTTATCAGCATTTTAATAACTGTTTTAAGTTTATTTTAACTTTTAAACTGTTTTTAACATTCTTTTAGTCTAATCCTTTTTTCATTATGTCAGTGTGATTTTACAGATGCAAATTTTAATTGTATGCTGTGATGTGTTCCTTTATTGGAAGGAAGGCGAGACAATCAATCAATCAATCAACCAATCTTAGTTTACCCAAATCACAGCTTTAAATCAATACATTTCACATAAATTCAAATAATACCTGTTCTTTTTTTCAATTAATGTACTGGCTGAATTCTAATGGTTACATTATGCAAACACAATTGCACAATCCGTTATTCTCATATATATTTTTTCATGCACTATCCACAAAATCTTGCTGCACAGCTTAAGGAAGACAGATCTATGTCAAAAACTAGCTGTTTGTTTGATTTCTTAGTGGTCTAATAAAGATATCACCTGCTCTTTACTCAATTATTCCTGTTATCACAATTTATGAAATAATTCCAGTTTAAACAAAAGTTACTGGCAAACAATCTATCACTCATTTACCTAACTCTAACCAAAAGGTGTCATTTTATTAAATCCAGATATAATTCATATGCAGCAGCAATACTTCCCATTACTGCAAACGGGAAACAGCACCCTATAGTTATTTAAACATTAATTAATAAAGCTTCCATCCCACTATTCTTCCCAATCAGACTATTTCGGTTTTCATTAAAGATGCTGTTCTCACAGTACTTTTGAAAATAGTTTGTTGATCATTAACTATTTCTGCGCATAAACCTGAGTTTTTAGACTGGAGATGTCGAGTTCAGTCTTTCACATGGCCTAGTCTAATGAGATTGTTTATATGACTATGCACTTTAGCGGCATTAGTCAGCATTCTAGCTTCTTAAATCATATTGTAAAAATAGGAGTTTCCCTTTTCTGTCTTCCCAGACTGCAGTGGTACAGTAGAAAATCCTCTACAACTACTATGTAAAGAATATATAACAAATTGCTACCAATGTGAATGCACTAAGGATCTGTCTAGTCAAATGTCAGAAAGTCACACAAATGCTACTGAAATTGCTCCTTTGAGCAGTGGTTGAACACAATTTCTGCAGTGTTTGGAAACTTAAGGGGAGGACCTGCTCCAGCTCCATTGCATGACGGGCTTGCATACTTGAACACAATTTCTGCAGTGTTTGGAAACCTAAGGGGAGGATCTGCTCCAGCTCCACTGCATGACAGGCTTGCATACAATGGAGTCTCGACTTACGGACGGCTCCACTTACAAAACTTTTCGACATCCATACTTCTCCGGCCGCAAAGTTTCTCTTCGACTTGCGGCCGGAGAATCGACCTATGGACCAGAAGAGGGAGGCAGAGAAAGTGCCAAATTCAAATTTGGCGCTTTCCCCGCTTCTCCCTTCCAGTCTGTAGGCTGCGGATCTGCCTCCAGATGCTTTCCAGGGCTTCTCTACCGCCATGGGAGGCATCTTTGAGGTCCCCCATGCCGCCGATAGTGCCTCCGAAGCATGACTGGCGGCCGGGGGGACCTCTGAGAGGCCTCCCACAGCAGTGGAGAAGCCCTGGAAGGCATCCCCCGCCACCACTGCTGCTGCTGGGAGCCAAGCCGGGCAATCCCAGACATGTTCAGACTCCTGGACTTCCTCGCCGCCGCTGCCGCCGATGGAAGCCGAGCCGAGTTGCGTTGGGCGATCCCAGCCATGCTCTGACTCGTGGACCTCCCCACGCCACTGCAGCTGCTGGGAGCCAAGCGGCGGCAGGGGAAGTCCAGGAGTCCAAGCATGGCCAAGATCGCCCGGCGCAGCTCGGCTCCCAGCAGCAACAGCGGCCCTCCAGATGCCTTCCAGGGTTTCTCCGCCACCATGGGAGGCCTCTCGGAGGTCCCCTGCCGCTGCCAATAGTGCTATATCCAATTGTCAGTCCTGATTAGAGTACACCACTGAATAAAAGGGAGTTGTTCAATCAAGACTTTCCAAGGTTCCACTGATTCAATGGGTTTACTCTACTTGGGATTAAAATTGGATTTAACCCAGAAAAAATGCTGGTGCTCTAATTTAGCTAGAATGAATCAACTATGCTTATACTACATGTACACTCCATTGTAATATACCCTATTTACTATGCCTTTTTAAATGGAGAATTTTCTGAAAAAGAAAAGTCATGGCCAATTTCCTGGCCTACAACATGTCTTCCAAGCCACCAAGAAAATTGAAATAGGGCACATACATTGGCTAAACCACTTGAATTACACACACAAAAATTATGAAGGAAGACTTTAAAAGTATTAACTGAGAGTAAAAATTCTATCCCAAAGTTTTCAGGGTCTTTTCCAACTACTCAAAAAGGTGATCATTTTAAATATACATGACCGAGCAAAAACGAGCATGCTTAAAAGTTTGAAACCAGGCTATTTTACATCCAGCAGTCAGTATGAATTCATAACACCAACCTGAATTTAAATACAAATTGATGCTGTTTGTGCTTTGTCTTTTCACATGCTTCTTCAATAAGCATATGACTTTTTAAGAGGAAATAACTTTGGGTAGCAGCTAGGAGAATGCACCTATATACACAGAGCACAAGCTTCAGTACTTTAAAGTGTGTTACACTTTGTACTAAAGCAGCAAATTGGAGTGTTTCTTGAACAAATGACAATGTAAACTGGAAGAATCAACAACAAATATCTTGGGTACTAGTCCCTAAGAAAGAAAGAACACATCCACAAGTGATGATTCTTCTTTATCATTTCAGTATGTCAAGAGTTCTAGCTCTCTTCCTTTATCTAAAAGTTCAATTTTTGGCAAGGAAGTTCACTCTATAGCTTATATTTCACTTGCTACGATGATATTTGGTTCTGCACACAAAGCATTTATGAAGTAGGGATATCATCAATATAATAAAGGTTTGTTTTTCAGCACTTAGGTGTAGCCCTTAGCTTTACAGCCCTCAGACCACCCACACAACTAGTTTCAATAGTAACACTGAGAGCTGCTTTTCCAAATATTGGAAAGCTTTTGGGTTGAAATTCAAATTCTTTGTTTGCTTAGGAATACTGTACTCAAATTTCTTCAATAACCACTGGGCAGCACGGCAGTGGTCCGAAGTTCAACAAACTCACACAGATCTGTGGAAGCCACCTTTATGACCATTACAAATATGGCTTCCAACAACTGCTAGTGCTTTTATGCCAAGGTACTAGTACAGTAACCTCTAAACCAAACACAAGCAAAATTCCTGCAAGGAAATATAAGATATACTGAACAAGTGTTTTCCACCATGCTGTTAGCTTCTTAATTCAGATAATTAATCCCAGCAAACTAATGGAAGAGCCGAAACAAAAGCATTTCTTTTACACAATCTATACATCTTTTAAGGCAAACAGGATCGAACTTCCAAGAGACATTTTTTAAAAGTGTATCCGAATGTGCAATCTGATTTTTGCCCTTTCCACTTGAGAGGAACCTGTCCACAATCGGCTCTCGTCTTTTCTGAACGCTAGAAAAGTAAACGGAAACCTACACAAGGGTTTTTTAAACCACAGCATGCTGCCCCGTGTTGGAGATTCACAGCCACAGAAACGAGAAGTTCATTCCTTTATACAGAGTTGGGCTTCAACAACTTTAAATAAACACTGTGAGGACTGAGGTATCAAATGATTTACGCACAAAAAAAGGACTGCAGTGCGTCAGAGACAAAAGCCAGCTCCTAGCCTCACTGCATTGCCATGTGCAGGGAGGGGGGGTGAGGAGGACAGGCTTTTCCTGGCACTGCCCCACTCACTGCACCGCATTGGTACAGGACTTCACGGAAGCGCCCCGCCGCTGCCCTTCACACGGTGCCAGAAGGAGTGGCGGGAGGGCCACAGCCCCTGCGGCGCCCCCACTTCCCAACTGCGGGGAACTAAGGGGCCTTTTATTCCTGAGTCACTCCAAGAGAGCCATAAAGAGAGGGGAAAAGTACCGCACACGACACACATTCTGACGGAGCAAAACCCCCCCTTATCATGCACGCCCAAGTCAGGACAGACGGTGAAGGGACGCCGGCTGCAGCTCGGGTAAACGTGGGGAAGGACTCCCGTCTACACAGAGTAACAGAACATTGTGAAAACCCGCACCCCGCACGTTCGCCAGTCCTCCTAAATCTCCGACCTCCTCACCCACCCACCCCTTTCTCGACTCGGAAGTCCCAAGGCTGCCAAGTTTCCCGCGCAAACAGAAAGGGCGAAAAGAAACCGGCGCGCTTCTGGGGCAGTACCTTCAGCTGGTCCCCGGGCAGGCGCGGGTCGTTCCAAGTGGTGGTGCGGTTGTTATGATCCACAAAGAAAGGCCACCCGGTTTGCGGGTCTATTTTCACCTCCCAGCCCGGAGGCAGCGGGTCGCGTTCGCCTCCTCCGGTCTCCGTCCGCACCATCGCGGGAGACTGAGCCGCAGCGCTCATCCTACTACGCGAGAGCAAGGTTCAGCGTAAGGCCCGGGGCGTCGGAGCGAAGGAGCGCGGGGAAACGACCACTTCGGCCGGCTGCCGGGCCATCAACTGGGAAAGAGTCATGCGAAGCCGCCCAAACCGGCCGGGCACCTTTATCGCTTAACAGCGAAGGGGAGGGGACAGCTGAAGGGGGTGGAAGTGTCTGGAAATAGCAGCTTCACGCCAAAGAGGAGGGGAAGAGGGAGGAGGAGGAGAAGGAGGTGGAGAGACGCAGGACAGCTGCCCCGTTGGAAACTTCTGGGCGCCTCTAGCGCCTTTGGGTAGCCGCGCCGGCCGCTCCTCCTTGAGTCACTCTCTCCTCGTCCTCCCCCCCCACCGCACCCGTGATTATTATTCGCCGGTGTATCTCCATTATGACGAGCGGGACGCCTTCGCTCCGCCTGCGGGGCGGTGGTTATTATTTCAAGCTATGACCGTGGCACCATCTTTCTTGAGTTCTTGTGGGTTTAAAGGAAGGGAGGAGGGGATTGTCTCCAAAGCTGGGGCTCTAATCATCTACGTCCTGCGCCCCGCAGTTAATAGGTTTGCAATCCTTTTAGCATCTTACTTCTGATATTAGTGAGTTATTTGCCGATTTGCGGTAATGTCCCCGGACGTGTTCCCTGCCAATGTTAACTCGCAGGAGAAAATGAGAGTGAAATATTCCCTTACCCGTCTTCCTTAAAAATACAGCCTGCTGGTATAGCAGGCCACTGATAAAGGCAACGGCGTTCTCCGCAACAAGTGGATCTCAGGGCATGTTTGTTTTTTCTTACCAGCTGTCAAGTCGCCTGCGACTTCTGGCGAATCTATGAATGAATGATCTTCAAAAGTTCCTGTCTTCTACTGACTTGCTCAGCTCTTGTAGACTTGAGCCTGCGGGATTCTGTATTTGGTCGTCGTCTTTTCCTACGGCCTTCTACCTTTCCTAACATTACTGTATTTTCCAGAGAATTTTGCCTTTTCATGATGCACTGTGAAGGAGATCAGCATAGTGTGCCATCCTCCGAGGAGAGCAGACAAGATATGATAGCAGGATGTGCAGTAGAATTGATCAAAATAGAAGAAGGAGAAATGGGGAGGAATAGGGCTGTAGAGCAGACCTGGGCAAAGTGCGGCCCGAGGACCACATACGGCCCGCAAGCCGCTCCTGTCCGGCCCGTGAACAATTCTGAACATCAAAACCATGTATAGCTTTTTGTCTAAAGTTGATCAGTTGCTTATCTTTAACATACCACAAAAAAAAACCTCTTTAGTATTTGTAAAGTTTAAAATAAAGTTTAAAATGAAAACAATCATAATATCACTGTTTCATTTTATTTTTAAGTAAAGTTGGTTCGTTCACTGATCAAAATTCAGATTTTTCATGTGCCCCCCCCTATAGAAATTAATTGCTCACACCTGCTGTAGAGGTATTCTTGGCAGAGGGTAGACAGAATAAAAAATGGGAGGAGCTAGATTTAATGAGATGGGACGAGATAAAAGAGGAGGAAGGAGGGGGAGAAGGGGGAGAAGGAGATGAAGAGGAAAAGGAAGACAAGGGTACTCAGATGAAGGAAAAATGATTACAAAGGTACAAATCTGTTAAATTAGTGCGGGAGTTTCCTAACCTTAGAACAGGAGGAGGATTATTACTTGACCCCCAAAGTCTAATAGAGAAAGACAAGATAAAGGCAAAACCGGGATGGAGTATGGTAGCGGCGCCATGGGCCCAGTATATAGGGAAGAAGGTGACTTATATTGGTACCACCAGCTACCTACCCTATCTAGAGGGGAACTACGTGAAACATCCCTGTTGCGGGACAATATGTGCAGCCTTGAGTTTCCCAATGTGAAACAGAGCCGAGCCAAGTCTGTCTGGGATGAAGAAGGAGTGAAAGGGACAAAGACTATGGACATGAACAAGGTTAAAAGTTACAAGTTATTGCGTGAACTGAGTTGTTTAGATCCGTTCAACGTTGATATTCCAGAAGTTAAAAACAATAAAGAACCATTGTTTGTACCATTATCCTCGTCTCTTGTCTATTTTTCCCACTGAAAAGAAAGCCCTGCCTACCACAGATAAAGAACCCAATCACATGCACCTAAAGTAGAAGAGCCTCGGTTTCAACATTTTTGCCTCCAGAGAAGGTTCAGGCTTGATTTGCTGTAGGATCCACTGTGAGACCTGGGATGAGAGCAAAGAGGCTCTCACCGGAGTGCCGTCCATTCCATGCGTGGAAAGGGAGGTACAGACCACATTGACAGACCCGCCAAAAGGGAACTGATACCCGAGATTTGGAGGAACGAAGGCGCGGGATAACCGTTGCCATTCAAACCCTGGCTGAGTTGGTGGGAATATCCAGGACCAGGAGAGTGGAGATTGAGGCGGGGTCAGCGGAAATAAAAAGGAGGGAAGACCCGATACCCGGGGATGGGAGATGGTGTGGGTACAAGACCCATGTTCTGGGAAATGGGAGTGTGTGTGAGTGCTGAGAGAGGAGGCTGACTATTGTAGAAAGGGGGGGATCCCTCAAAGGCCTTCATATTCGGGTGAATCAGAAGCAAGAGAATAGAGAAGAAGTTTGAGGGGGGAAAAGCAAAGAGTTGAACAGGAGGAGAGGGAAAGAAGAGAATGGCAAATGGAGGAGGCGAGGAGGAGGGGTTTTCTACAGGACCCTGGAACCCCTTACGAGAGAACAGAGAAATTTGAGATGACCATCCAGATGATGACAAGACCACCTCACTCCTGGATGAGAGAGAGGACGAATTACTGAGGGAAAATGAGATTCCCCCCTGGATTGGACCTTTGGGTAACGCTGAGGACTCAAAACTGTTTGGAAAGTAAGAATGGATGCCCCCATCCAACCTGTTGGCGATGGGAAAGAAATTATGGGATAACTTACTTGATAAGGACTTTCTGTTGAACACCCCAATAAACCTGACCCCTAGTTTAAAGTCGAAGAAGACCCATGATTTTGTTGTGGAGACTGTTAATCCCAAGATCGAAACCTTACATATTGGCACCCAACGAGGGGGGCCTCCACAGCCAGACAAATACACAGACAACTGAATTCACAGAGTCACCGAAGAGCAAGAAAAGTTGATCAAACAACTATCAAAACAACAACAGCTATTGATAAACCGATTGATGCAGGCACATGTCAGCCCTACACGTTGACTATTTCTCCCAACAGGGTCGCTGAGGACTCAAAACTGTTGGGAAAGGAAGAATGGATGCCCCCATCCGACTTGTTGGCGATGGGAAATAAATTATGGGATAACTTACTTGATAAGGACTTTTTGTTGAACACCCCAGTAAACTTGACCCCTAGTTTAAAGTTGAAGACGACTCGTAATTTTGTTGTGGAGACTGTTAATCCCAAGATCGAACTCTCACATCCACTTGTTCAGCTTTCTGGAGATCCAGGATATCCACAAAACACATAAACACCATATTTCAAATGAATCACTTTTTTTCCTGTCAGCCTTTTGTACCACCTGGCTTTTACACATGGTGAGCAGAAATAAAAGAGTGTGGTTCTTGGTTCCTCCTGACACATCCTTACACTTGATTACTTTCTCTAATTCCTTTGCTGCCCTTCTGAATCTCAGTCTTCTGATTTTCTTGGCCGCAGTCTCCATTTGGATTGATGATTGGACCAAGGCATACAAAATCTCCTAACTATTTCAGTGCCTTTATTGTCAATAGTAAAGTTTTGTAACTCTTCTGTAATCATGATTTTGGTCTTCTTAACTTCACTTTCTATAACTGTAGGTTCTTCATCATAAGATGCCTCTTCAAAAGAGTCTGTGATCCTTTTATCATAGAATCACATAATAATGGAGTTGGAAGGGGCCTATAAGGGCACTGAGTCTAACTCACCTGCTCAATGCAGGAATCCAAATCAAAGCAGATCTGACAGATGGTTGTCCAATTTTTTCTTGAATGCCTCCAGTGTTGGTGTGCTCAACTCCTCTCAGATTAAGTGGTTCCATTGCTTTATTGCTCTAACACCCAATATTCAGATAGTCTGCATCTGGCTTCCTATAACTTAAGCCCATTAACTGTCCTTCTGTATAGGTCTGTTTCCATCTTTTTATTTTCTTCTGATCAGATAGTGTGCTTTCCTGTTGGGAAGTTCCGAAAGAGCCTAAATCTAGGCTAAAATGTCTGTTTGATTTATTGGATCTATGCTATAACACTGAAAACCGTTTTCTGGGCAGTAAGCTGAAACAGTGAAACTTGTACAGTAGTTGCTTTCCAAGGACATCTCTAGCATGGATTATTATGGTTCTTTTAATTATTATATTTGCAGTTAATTACAGTATATGCCTTTAGTAATGGGAGCCCAGAATAGCTACCAATTTACACAAGAAACAGTGAAAATATTAAACAAGTAACTAAAAACTCAAATTACACAAATTTAAAATTACAAATATCTAAATACAGATTATGTGTCTGATAAGAACAGAGTAAAAACTATGCAAATAGGCAACAAAGACAAAATGAACACTTTCTAAGGAACACAGTTCTCCACATTCCTTATACGAACCATCTACACAAGTTTGAGGAATAGGTTTATTAGACTAGACAAACATTGCATGATTTGCATAAACAGCTCATGGGTTTCCAGTAGTGTCAATACAAGTTTATTGTTCAAATAATCCAAGCTTTCGATGGCAATATCTTGCAGCATCTTCATCAGGTAAGGCAAGATATCAACTAAAACAAAGCTAACCTTAAATACATGACTTTTACCCACTTTGATTATCCTTACCATTAGGCAGACCGGCCAACCACCACAGGTGGCTAATGTTGCTGCCGCTGCTGTTTCAACTTATATATCACCCCATAGTGCTACAGCATTCTCTGGGCAGTTTACAACATAATTTTGCAAATTGTCCCTGAGCAAGCTGGAAACTCATTTTACTGATCTTGGATGGATGGAAGGCTGAATCAACCTTGAGCCGGCTACCTGAACCTGTCAGGATGATGAGATGTTTTGACTAGCAATGGGGGCTTTGTATTTGTATATGAAGCCTGCTGGCACAGGTAGCTGGCTTGATGAACACCCAACCCCAGATCCCAATGGACCAGTTACTACACAGTACACAGTGCACATGGGGAGGAATAGGGCTGTAGCCCCGACCTGGGCAAAGCGCGGCCCGAGGACCACATACGGCCCGCAAGCCGCTCCTGTCCGGCCCGTGAACAATTCTGAACATCAAAACCATGTATAGCTTTTTGTCTAAAGTTGATCAGTTGCTTATCTTTAACATACCACCAAAAAAAAAAACTCTTTAGTATTTGTAAAGTTTAAATGCCCCAATCACAGCAGTA